ATGGGAATATTTTGCCTGCTCACATCTTATTTTCTATCTCAATTGTGCCTTTTTCTTTTTCTCTGCTAGAGTGAAATGAAGTAGCACATATACCAAAAATGTACCACAGTGCCTAGCATTAGTATTCCCCAATAAATTTGAATTTTCTTCTCTTTCTTCTCGTATACTTAGGAACATAACTGCACTGTGTACACAGATTAACTGGGAATTCAAATGGAAATTTTTTAGTGTAGCTGTTTATAGTTTCCATCAGTTTCTGCAGTTTTGAGTAATCCAGATGAAGGTTATTTCAGTATAAGATCTTCATCTACTTATAACACTGATGGTAAATGTCAGTCAAGGTTATCCTGAAAGCTACTGGTAACATAGGGAATATATCTGAGATTTCTAAAGCTCTGAACGGTGCCAGTTAATCATAGTATGAAGTTCATTTATTGTCCTCTCCCTAAATTATTGTGCTAACAGATTTGTCTTGAAATGTTGCCCAACTCTACTATGTATAATAATGAGTGGGTCTTTTCTACTTAGCGCGCAATATTACCTTAAACTTATATAGCGCTTAATATTGCTACAAAGTGTTTTCACCGATATTATTCCATTTCGATCCTTACCACAACCTGTGAGAAAGAAATTGTTATTTCAAATTTTAAGAGGAGGAAATGAGCTTAAGGAGTTAAAAGATTCACAGAAGGAAATCGTCAGTGGGGAGGGTATAGTTCAAGTGGTAGAACGCATGCCTATCATGCATGAGGTCTGAGTTCAATCCCCAGTACCTCCTCTAAAAATAATTAAACCTAGTTACCTCCCCCTGGGAAAAAGTAATAATAATAAATTAGTTAATTTTTGAAAAACAGAAAAGAACCATCAGAGGAGCCAAGTCAATTTTTTCTAGTAAGTCACACTGAATAGCTATTGGGAGTGGGATGATTTTAGTTTTGGATGTGCTATGGCTATTTAACTTTTTTAAGACCAGAAACAGATTGTTTCCTTTTCTCTTAAATTATCCAGTGTTTAAAGCCAATTTGATCAACACTATGTATTTTAATATTTGAATTGTACTTGATACTTGCCTCGCGGTCCATGTGAGTACCAGTGTGCTGTTTAGATGAGCAGTGGAGGAAACAGCTGGAGGGACAGATGAGCCTCACCACCAATGTTCCCAGGTTCAGTAGAGCCAATCTGTGGAAGAATGAGTTCAGAGCTGTGAAAGGCAGGAAATAGTTGCAGAGGGCTGGGTTTGCTGACCCTGTGCTAAGCAAAATTTTATATCAGCTATGGTACTATCTGTGTGCTAGCCTTCCCTTTTTGTTATTTGTGGTTTAGTTTGGTTTTGTTCATTTTTGTTTTATACTGAAACCATTAACTCTTTTTTTTTTAAATTTTACTTTAATGGAGGTCCTGGGGATTGAGCCTGGGACCCACTTAGTGCACACGAAGCATGTACTCTACCACCGAGCTATACTCACCCCTTGATTCTTTAAAGAAAGATGGAAAAGTTGCTTCCTGTTTTTTGATCACCGTACAAGCTATCCAGAGGCTCACCTCAGTCTCACTTCCTGTTTGTTTTGGAGGCCAGGCCTGGAGCTCATCTGTCACTGCTGGCACTTTTTTTTTTTTTTTGCTACAAATTAATCATTTTAGAAATGGGAACACCTTCTCATAATATCCAGGATTGAGTCATTTTTAGGAGTCCGTTCAATGAATGGTGAATGGTAAGGAACAGTATTGATGACGACCTTAATGACACTATTACACTCTTGTTTTTAGCATTGTTAATTACACTAAAACTGAAGGCTTTAAGTCTAAAATTTTGTGTAAAAATGACCTGAATGTACAGGCATTTTTTAGCATCAATAGTCTAAAAAATTTTGAGTGACCTACAATTCCTCCACCAGATAACTGCTCTAAACATTTTTAAAAAGATAATATTAAACTGCACTGATACCTAATTCCTTTCCCCAAAGAGGAATTTTTCTTTGTTTCCTTACAAAAAGAAATCTATTCACATAGCAGAATATCCTTTTTATTTACCCAAAAGAGGCTGTTTGTGCTTGCTTATGCTTGATTCTGAGCCTTGGCTGCTTTAGCTTAAAATATAGGTCCACGTGTAAAATAATATATATGGTGTATACCTGTTATGCACTGGCACAAACAGATAACTTTATCTGCCTTATTCTTTTTAAACAGCTATATAATATTTCATTTTAGAGCTATATTGTAGATAATTAACTGGTTATCTATAAAAGGCATTTTTCTCTCTTTCATTACCAATGCTATTATGAACTTAATCTTGGCCTACATTTGAATGTAAATACATGCTTTTACTTAGCAGTGGATTTACTTAGCAGCTGATTTAACCTGGATGTTTGAATGTCTAAAACATTCTAGCATTTTCTGAAATGTCATACTTGCTTCAGACATAGGTTTTTCATATAAGAATGCCAAGGCAGATGTAACTAGGGAAGAAAATGTGACAGCAGTTTACTCTTTTTCTTTTAAATTTTTTATTGAAGTGTAGTTGATTTATAATGTTAGTTTCAGGTGTACAGCAATGTGATTCAGTTACACATATATTTTTTCTTTTCAGATTCTTTTCCATTATATGTTATTACAAGAAATTGAATATAGTTCCCTGTGCTATACAGTAGGTCCTTGTTTTATCTGTTTTATATTTAGTAATGTGTATAGTAATTAAATTAACTATGAATCCTTAGAAGTAAAAAAGGATGAGTAAAGAAAAAAAAATAAGCAAAGGCTTTTTTGCTGTTAGAGGCTCCAAAAAGCCCCTGGAATTGGACACCCAGGTGGTGGTTCTTGCTTATCTTATCTCTGCCAGGGCTGATTCTGGAGGGGTCTCTACCTTTGGTGTTTGCGAGGTCTGTCCTGTTGAACTTGTAAGGATTTGAGCCTGCAGTTTAGAATCAAGTCTGCAGTTAGAGTGATCGGCCGCTAGATGGACTGCTCCTTTGAGTACAAGTCAAAACAAGTTTTACTAACTCCTGTCGGTGGGTCACCACTCAGTGACAAGGAGAGAGACAAGGGAACCTTGTCCACTTACATGTCACATGGCAGAGCTAAGGGCAGGCACAACATTTTATACAACACTGTACATCAATCCTGGGTGCTTGACTGTTGTACCTTATTCCTGATGTAAGAACAAATGGCTTTTAAACCTTCTCACTCTAGTCAATGCCCACGCCTTATTTGGTATGATGTGGTTTGCCCATGCTCAGGGGGACAAAAAAAAAGAAAAAAGCTGCTTTTCCCATATACTTATAACAATTAGACTTCTGCAGACCTAATTTCCCCAGAGAAAATTAAGTAGGGATTCAGGATAAAAGTTCTTTGGATGCTGAGGCATGTGCGAGGGGACTTCCAGCGGGCTTTGTTGGTTCATTATTGTATTCTGCTTGTGCTAAAACTTATGGGTTTTGCCACATTTTAAAAAAATTAAAATATGTGCTCAAATAAAATAAATTCAAATAGTGTAGAAGAGCATAAAATGAAAAGCTAGAGTTTCCTTTCCTGTTCCCATTCATAGTCTTATTCCAGAGAAAACCAAACACTGTGCCTCTGTGTGTGTGTGTGCGCGCGCGTGCATGAGTATTAGCGCACATACATAGCTCTAGCTGTAATTATGTCTTCCGTTAATTTTTAAAGTCCTGGAAGCCTGGAAGATAGTAGATAAACTTAGATTTTATTTACTGATTGTCCAAGTTTTAATCTTTCTGTTAGAGGAAGCTGTTTGGTGTAGCTTGGCCTGTGTATCCCAGGAAAAGAGGAAAAGGGAGCTAATCTGGCTAATTAAATTGATACCCACAGTGAAATCATGTAACCCTGATCATAACCTGTGTTAGAATTGACATGCCTCCCTGAATGAATTATTTTAAAAATAATATTAATGTTTTAAAAATTGTGAATCACTATGTTGTACCTGAAACTTACACCTCGATAAAAATTTTTTAAATTTTTTTCAAATTTTTAAATAATATTGATCATAATTGTGGATGATTTGGAAGGAGAATTTTTGAAAATAAATAAATAAATGTACTGTGGAGTTTGACTCACAACAAAAAGCCTCAAAGAAAAATAGCTTTAGTGTCTTTATCTTTGAGTATTTCATGAAAGCATTTTTGTTCAAAGCTTTTTCCCATAAAATAAAACATGCGTTTATTTTTTCATTGTTATTTATTCTTTTAAACCATGCAATTTCACGTACAAAAATAGAAAAGCCAGTTTGAGCATACAATAACCTAAGAAAGTTCCAGTCCAAGAAAATAATCACACTTCACGAAGATGATTAATGAAAGGAGAAAACGTTTTTGAAAGAAAAGAAATATTATGAATGATGTTCTTTTAATATTCTCTATCAATCAATTAGTTAATTAGTAATTAATCAACTACTAATACTAAATCAATACCTTCTATACTCAGAGTACGTCATTTGGATCGCATTGTTGTGTGCCTCTTGCTTTTCATTTCCAGTTGCTAAGTATCCTGATTACTGCACTGCATCAATTTAAGAGACATTTTAATGCTTGAAAAGAGAATTTATTTCTTGAAAGAGTCAAGGCTGTTCTTCTCTTGACTTCTGTAAACAGGCTCTTAAATAATCACTTCAGGAATAAACAGATTTTACAAACTCGGGGTTAAGTCTTACACTCCACGAACATACATATGTGCCTAATAAATGGATAATTATAAATGAATACTTATGAGTGTCTACACACATACGTGTGTATTAGTATGTGAGGTGTGTATGTACATGTAGAGCTCTCTAAAAAGAGAAAACTGTTTTGACTCATTCGGAATGACTAGTTACCGTGTCTCTGTCTTGATGGTGAGGTAAAATGCTTCAGTTTCAAATTCAAGGCATTTGAACATCTTTCTTGTCCCAGGTATTGTGCTAGACATTTAAATACCTTTCTTCTCATTTAATCTCCACAAAGGCATCATGAGATAGACATTAGCTCCCATTTTATGATGTAAGTAAACCTTTATGTCATTGAGTGAATTGGTTATATCACTAAAGATGTTAGCATTTGAACATTCTACAGAGTCATGTGGAAAGATAAGAAAATCACAAATTCCTAATCCGTCTGAAATTGTCACTATTAAAATGATCCTTAAATGTACTGATCTATTCTTTGTTCAAAAATAACATGTTTCTCTGGAATGCTGAAGACATTTAGTTTATAACCAAAATGATAGGGTCACATCTAGAGGCTGAGGCTTCTATACAGTATGTGCACAAAACAGGTCCTTTAGTGAGAAGACAGCAAGGAGCACAAGAGCCTGAATGATGCTGTCACCACTCTGAGGAACCAGAAATGACAGTTACAGCTTGGGTTGGCTGACCCATCTATAGGCTGGAGTGACTGGAGCCACTGAAGACAGTATTTTTAATAGAAAAAATAGCACAGATTGCGTTCTGACTGAGGTTCAAATTAGTTGGGCCGCTGGGCATTTGGCTTGTCGTTCTCCATCAGGACATAAACATGTGGGGTTGTCTCCATGTATGACAATGACTCAAGCTTTCCTAAAGTAATTTGTAAAAAGTGGGAATGAATATGTGTATACCCATGTGCATGCTTCCTCCCAGCCTTAATTTGTGAGAAACTGGCAGAGAAACAAAATATACGTAAGGAGCACAGAATGGATATCAAACTCTGGCTTCATTGGCAAGGGACCATATAGAAAAATATGCAAAACAGACCCAGTGCTTAACCTGGTCGGGTTTCCGGGGACCCCCTGCCCGAGCAGTAGCACAAAGCTAGA